TTGATATAGAATCATCCGAGTAAGTGCCTTATCCACATGGTTATTGGGAGCTTACCCCGTTCCTTACATCCATTTCTTTCATTCTTTTCTTATTTCTCTACTTATGTTGCAGGAGACATTCCTGATAATGTGGATGTGCCCCTGGAGAGTAGCCTCCGTATGATGGGCCAAAGTACATTGTGGATCTAGCTTACCGTTGGAACAAGCGTGGATCAAGGAAGAGGACGAGGCACAGGATGGTTATGGATCAGATACCCGGAAGAACGAGGCGTGGGAGAGGAACACCATTTCTTACTGACCCTGAGCAGTATGAGTGCTGCAAGTGTGGTAGACTTGGCGACAATTCACGCAGTTGCCATTGATAGATTAGTGAGGTGCGACTATTGGTTGTTTTCACTATTTTATATTTGTCATATTCATTTAATTAATTATGCATGTCTCAATTTATGTATATAATTGTGTCAATTACTTGTACATTTCTAAGTTCATTTTTCATTGTATATTGAATTTCTAATTCATTGACTTTTTTTTGTAGGATGGCGCAATTCCACCTGCTCGACCCGACGTACGAGGCGACCCACCGAGGACGTCTCATAGCAGCGGGGCAGGTAATAATCTATATGTTTTGTTTAAATTTTTGTGAGCGCGCATGTGGTCATGAAGTAACAGGAGACTATATTTTATTCCATGCAGGACCTTTCGCTCCTTCATCCTAGAACCCACAATGGGTTCTTGGACATGTAGTACGACGACAGGTACACACCTTTCCTGCAAAGAGCTGGCCTGGATGCCATCTCTTTTCAGGTTCGTCGTGGGTTGCCCAAGTTCAATTCAGCGGCCATAACTGCGTTGGTTGACAGGTATTATCTTCAATCATTGCCTCTATTCATGACCATTTGTTCGTGTGTTTGCCTTTTTAACATGTAATCTTGCTTTGTCGAAAATGTAGGTGGCAGCCGGAGACTTACAGCTTTCACCTACCTTTCAGGGAGATGACAGTCACGCTCTAGGACTGTCAGAAGATCCTAGGCTTGAGGATTCACGGCAACGCAGTCACTGGACAATGCAGGTCAGAAGGTTAGAGAGCACGAGTAGAGGCCTTCCTTGGGCATGAGGTTGGCGAGCAAGGGGCTCACACTTCTGGAGTTCTAATCTCCTGGCTCCGGCAAAAGTTCGCACTGTACCCCGAGGAGGCAGATGAGGAAACAGTTGGGTACTACTGCACGGCGTGGATCCTACACCTATTTGCCTGCGTTCTCTTCCCCGACGCCATGGGTGACACTACGTCATGGATGTGGGTCCATTGCCTTAGTGACTGGGACCAGACGGGTCAGTACAGCTGGGGCTCTACAGTCTTGGGTTTTCTTTATCGACAGCTGTGCGAGGGGTGTCGTCGGACTTCGTCCACAGCGTCACTTGGTGGAGCGTGTACCTATTGTAGTTGTGGATGTGGGCTCGTCTACCAGTTGGCCGTCCCGAAGTTCTGGCTCCTCGTGAGTGGTTCCCTAATTTGGATGTCATCAATACACCAAAACCCACATAGGGAACAAATGCACTTTTAAATTCTCAGTCTGAAACATACTGAGTAAGCAACTCATCATCCGAGTTATAGTTCTCTACCATAACCTTGTTGCTATGGCTAGGCTCACCTGCATTGCTCTGACCTACATGTCGCCTGTAGTAAGCGGCCTCCGCTTCATCTGCGGCCTCTACGGCCTGAGTGAAGAACGTATCGTCATCCTCCTCCTCCAGCAAGCTCGCCTCTGCTAGAGCGATGAGCTCGCTCAGTCTGCCAGTGTCGACCTCCGCCTCCTTCGCCTGTAAGCCCACATCTGCTAGAGCGATGAGCTCGTTTAGTCTGCCAGTGTCGTCCTCAGCCTCCTCCGCCTACAAACCTGTCTCTGCTAGAGCGATAAGCTCGCTCAGTCTGCCAGTGTCATCCTCTACCTCCTCCACCTACAAGCCCGTCTCAGCAAGAGCGATGAGATCGCTCAACCTGGCAATGTCGTCCTCATCCTTGCCCCCCTCATCAAACAACACAACCGGTGATTGAAACGGTGCGACCAGCTCGTGTTCTGTGCTCATCTAACTTTTTTCTCATACCTTGCATGAGCCACCTCTGTGGTATGGTCCTTGCTGCATTCAATCCCTTCATGTATAAAATGCAATCAGTTAGCAACGTGGTTATATTACATTTAAAATCAGGCAACGAAAAAAGACTTTCAAGCACTCACTGGCACATAATGCAACAACATGCTCGTTCAAGACCTGCATCTGTACTCTTGTCTGCTCCCTTGCCTCCTTCCTTGTCCTCTCCTCCTCTAACGTCCTATGTCTCTCCAATCCCCATTTGTAAGCCCAACATCGATTGAGATACGAATACCACGCTGTCTAGCAAACTCACGCATATTATTTTTGTGATGTTTAATGAATAGGTTAACGTAGTCAGGTCCATATCCCCTCTTTCGTGCAATTACTTGCCTCCCCTCCAGTTCATCCAAGAACTTAGCTTGACCCTCATAATATTCCCACCTGTATTTTCTAGTGCTCTGTTCAAACGAAAAATTATATCATATATGTCTTAGCAAAAGAAACAAAATACGATTTCATGTTTACCACAAAAATAATCAACCTCATCATAGTCAACCATATGGCCGCAATAATGACCTATTCCAAGCTCCAAAGGGACTAGACCGTAGTTGCATTTAACACCACATTCGCACTTGACTGGAGGTGCTTTGTAAATTAACCTTTCTTTCTTCTTTTCCTTTGACTTTGGCGGCTCCGACCATTGATTCTTAGGACCGTAGAGCCACTCTTTAAAACGACACTTTACAAATCCATAACGCTACAAGAGAATACATTAGTACACGCACACCTATAGAGATAAACATTTAAACAGATACACTTTTCACTTACTTCGTGTTTGTTCGGACACACAAACTCCAATGTATTCTTAGGCTCTCCTGCATTGCCCTGATCTGCCTGTCGCCTGTAGTAAGCTGCCTCCACTTCACCTGCGGCCTCTACGGTCTGAGTCAAAAACGCGTCCTCCTCCGTCTAGCTCATGTGGCTAGGCTCACCTACATTAATACACGCACATATATAGAGATAAACATTTAAACAGATACACTTTCCACTTACTTCGTGTTTGTTTGGACAAATAAAATCCAACGTATTCTCAGGGTTTATCACAGCTCGATCTCCGCATTCTCAGGTGCTTCTCCTTAGCCGTCATTGGCGGGGGTTAGGGAGGTGGAACCCACCGCTGGAAGTGCTCACGTGGATGTCTCCCTCAACACCAATCGTCGAAAAGAAGGTACCTAGGGTCAAACTTGTCTGCACCGTCGATCCACTGAAAGAAAAAACACCTCATGGGCTTACACAACAAGATTTCAACAAAATATTAGTAGCCTACTTACACAAATAAAGAAAAAAAGATAGTGAAAATAATTACTTAAATTGAAACGACTGCATGTGTAGAAGCAACGCGTCGCTGTGTCTGGATGTCCCGATTGAAACACGTTGGCCAGGAAACCATAGTCACAGTTAGGGACAGGGAGGCCAGGAGGGATGGAGGCATCTTTGCTAGACGCGTCGGGGTATAATTCACGAGGATGACCTCGTTTTCGTCAAAACTCCTCCCGATACATTTCTTGCATCTAACGAAACGGTTGTAATTTAACAAACAAAAATCAAAACATCATAAATTAATGTCAATGAGAACTATAACTACAATACAACCAATTTCGTTCTAAGAACTGAAAGCAATTAACATTAAACCATAAACCTAGGGTTTCCCATTTGATGCACAACAATAAACCCATAACATAACAACATGCGCTGCGGTTACCCAGGTTTGCTACTTTTTCACGCCTTGGCATCATTCTACGGTTGTATAATATAAATATTAAAAATTACATGAAACCCTAAGTAATGACGATTCTTAGGTTGAAAAATCCGACTAACATATACCGAATCGATGCGAAAAAAACTAGAAGGGAAGCGAGGATACCTTGCTATCGAAGATCTACGGATCAAATCAAAGTTTTCAAGGTGCAATATGCCGATTCGTGAGGTAGGACGAAGTGGGGAGAGAAAAACCTAAGAGGGAGGAGAAAGAAGAGAAAAAAGGCTCGGACAGGAAGGTTAGGGCCGGGGTTAAAACACCACCTCGGCGTCATAGATCATGACGCCAAGATCTACGACGCCGAGCGCGGCACCAGGATCTACGACGCCAAGCTTGGCGCTAGGATCTATGGTGCCGATCTGCCTGTCAAGTCACCGTCACGTCTGTGTTGAGCCCAAGACCTCGGCGTCAGCAACGATGGCACCGAGCTAACGCCCTGTTCGTTTGGGCTGGTTTGGCTTATAAGCCATGGCTGAAAGTACTGTTGGCTGGTTTGGTGTGAGAGAAAAATACTGTTTGTTGTTTGATAAGCCATGACTTGTAAGTCAAATACCAGCAAACGAACAGGTTGTAAGGGTGCAAATTTTAAAATCTTACCTTCAGGAACATATTTGTGATTTTTTTTAAAATAAGCTAAAAAATAAAAAATTCGGGTTGACGGTACGGAACCACGGAAATAAACCAACAATTCAAAATTCAAACCGTCCGGGGACCCCATGATTACCAGCCAAACGGCCTGGGGTCCCGCCGCTTCTCACCCGTCGTCCCCCGCGCTCCCACCGCCTCGTGGGGCCCAGATGTTCCGGACCCCACCTGCCATCGTGACGTCCGGAAACGACGCGAGCCCCGAGCATGAGGTGGCACCTCGCCAGCTGTACCCCGGTGACGAGCCACCGGCCGCTCCCGGTCACCCTTCCCGTCTCTCCGGGCTATATAACGCCCCGCCTCGCCTTCCCCCTTCCTCCAGCCACCGATCGAGACGTCCCAATCGAGCCAATCTCATCTCACACCGCCATTGCCAGTGCCAGCGGCAGCAGCAGCAGCAGGCTAATCCATCCGTTCCGTGTGTCTGTTTCCAGCACAGCCAGCGATGGGAGTGGAGTCGTCGGAGTGCGACAGGATAAAGGGGCCCTGGAGCCCGGAGGAGGACGAGGCGCTGCGGCGGCTCGTGGATCGCCACGGCGCGCGGAACTGGACGGCGATCGGGCGCGGCATCCCGGGGCGGTCGGGGAAGTCGTGCCGGCTGCGGTGGTGCAACCAGCTGTCGCCGCAGGTGGAGCGCCGCCCCTTCACTCCCGAGGAGGACGCCGCGATCCTGGCCGCGCACGCGCGGCTCGGCAACCGCTGGGCCGCCATCGCGCGCCTTCTCCCGGGCCGCACCGACAACGCCGTTAAGAACCACTGGAACTCGTCGCTCAAGCGGAAGCTCGCCACCGCCACGGCCGCGGCGACCTCCAGCGACGCCAAGGAGCGGCCGTGCAAGCGCGCGAGCCCTGCTGGCCCGGAGAGCCCGACGGCGTCGGATCGCAGCGACCTCAGCCACGGCTGCAGCGGCGGCGCCGTGGCGCAGGTGTTCCGCCCCGTCCCGCGCGCCGGCGGCTTCGACGCCATCAGCTGCGCCGCGGACGTGCGCCCTCCTCCTCCGCCCCCGCCAGCAACTGCAGACGAGGACCCGCTCACGTCGCTCTCCCTCTCGCTGCCGGGGCTGGACCAGCAGGCGTCGTCGGGGTTCCACCACGACAGCGCGCGGAGCCACTTCCAGGAGCTCTCCCCCTCGCGCTCCCCGTCGCCGCAGTCTCCTCCTCCACCCGCCGCCCTTCCTTCGCCGGCGGCGGCTCCGTCTCAGTCGTCGTCGTCGTCGTCGTCGTACCCGTTCAGCGGCGAGCTGGTGGCCGCGATGCAGGAGATGATCCGCGCCGAGGTGCGCAAGTACATGTCCGGCGCGGGCCTCCGCGCCGGGTGCGGGCCCGGCGCCGTGGGCGAGGCGTGCATGCCGCAGCTGGTGGAGGGCGTCATGCGCGCCGCCGCGGAGCGCGTCGGCGTTGTCACACGGCCGTAGAAGAACCCCAAACCAAACCAAACCAAACCAAATCAGATCGAATCAATGCGAAGCATTGTGTTAACTAAGATCCCGTCCCGTCCTGTGTAGCAGCACTACGTAGACTACTACTGCTAGTCGTTCTTGTATTTAGGAGAGGAGCTCGCGTTGTTTATTCGTCGGCGGCTGCCGCTCTGAATTCAGAAAGAAACAGAGCGGCGGCGGTGAAAGCCGGAAGCGGAAACGGAGGTTGGCAAATAATCATCGAGCCTGCCATTTCTATACTGGGATGTGTTGCCGCGGCTTGCTCAGAAAGGGGATGTGATTGCGCTGATCCGCCCGATGGCAATACGCGCCCGAAACCGATCTGGAACGTCTCTTCCGCTGTTCCAGTTTCCACTTTGCTGTACTGCGAGTCACGAGCGCGAGCGCGAGCGCAACCCAACAAAATGGCGGATCAGAGCCGGGATACAGAACGGCAGCTCTGTTTCCTTCACTTCACATCAGCAGCTCTGATGAATCCTCAAAGCGTCTTTCATTGAGATATTGGATCATGCGATGATTGAACTCGATAAAAATCGATAAATTATTGCGTTCCAAACGTGTGGCTGTGAGCGGTGGCACCGTGTAAGCTAGAGCTACAAGCCGTTGAACCGAGTGTACTGTTAGAGTCATCAGCAGAGTTGAGTTATGAACTGGCTTACAATCCAGGCTCCATTCGCCAGGATTTATTGCTGCCGACTGATTTATAGGACTAATTTATTGAGAAAAATACCTATCCATACCCGAAAAAATAGGACTGAGGGCCTGTTTAGATCCCTTCCCATTTGTAATTTATCAGTAGAAAAAAATACCTTGACAAAATCATCCCAATTATGAAAAATAGGACTGATTCTCGTACAGAGCCCAAGTGAGTGCAGGACGGGGGGCAGTGGCAGTGAGTGATCGATCGCTTTGCTGGCATCAAACAGGGCCTGATTCTCAAGACACGAGACAGGACGCAGCAAATCGATCGCTGCTAGCAACAGCCAACAAACACGAGACGGCGCAGCAAATGTGAAAGGCAACAAGGACAGAGGACGCGGACGGACGCCAGCGGTGTCAGCCAGCTGTTCTGGGCCGGCCTGTCAGCCTGTGCACCTTAATACCCTTGCGCAGAACAGTAAAGATGGAGCGGCCTGACTTTGCAAAGGATGGGTGGCGCGCGCGTGCACTGTGCATGCCCACGGCCACGATCGGCGAGCGACAGGCTGCAAAGCGCTCTGCACAACCAGGGCAGGGGGCACGGGCGCACGGCGGCGGTGACCGGTGAGCGGTGAGCCGATGGCACGATGAGCCTTTTCGCCAGTCTCTCTCTAACGGAGGCAGGACCGAGTTGGAACATGGGCCTGGTTTTGATTACACTGGGCTTCGAAACTCTGGGACCAAACTTTTGTTCGAGCCTGGTAACTGAGGCCCAGTATGGAGTGTCTGAATCGTGCACTAAGGTGGTGGTAGTAGTAGTAGTAGGCCTAGTCTATTTCCATCGGCGGTCCAGCCCAGTGTAGGAGATGCAGCAACACTTGGGCAAACGTCTGAAAAAGGTTAGCACAAACACGCAGCACCAGAAACACTTGGGCAAAACTGAAATGCTGGTAACACCACACCACATCCTGGCGTACTCCCAGTATAATACGTACTACACATAGTTATTCAGCCTGATGACATTTAAACAGACCATCCATCAACTCATCTGAAAGCCCAGAACATAACGGCAAGAACGCGACAAGCCCACAAACTAAATAAAGGAAGCAGAAGAGCACGCAGCCTCGACACGAACGAACGTTGCACTGCACGCGGGGCACACAGCCTCCCCTCACGGCTCAACGACGCGGCGCCGTCAGTTGCTCGGCGCATCGGCCGCCGCCTCCTCGACGTTGCTGCCGGCGACGTCGACGACGAAGCGGTAGCGGACGTCGTTGCGCTCCAGCCGCTCCAGCGCCTCGTTCACGTACCCCATCTTGACCACCTCGATCTGGCAGGTGAGCCCCTTGTCGACGCAGAACTGGAGCACCTCGGCGGTCTCGTCGATGCTGCCGATGAAGCTCCCCGTGATGGCCTTCCGCCCCAGCATCACCATGGGCGACACGAAGCTGAGGGGCTCGGCGATGACGCCCAGCAGCACGTGCTTGCCGTCCAGCTTCAGCAGCGCCAGGTACGGTTCCAGCGGGTGGTGCACGGGCACCGTGTCGATGATGTAGTCCAGCGAGTCGGCGGCCGCCGCCATGGCCTCCGCGTCCGAGCTCACCAGGTACGCGTCCGCGCCCAGGTGGTCCATCGCCTCCGCGCGCTTCTTGGACGACGAGCTGATCACCGTCACGTGGTGGCCCATGGCCTTGGCCACCTTCACGCCCATGTGGCCCACGCCACCCAGGCCCAGGATGCCGCCACGGAGGCCCGGGGTCGTCAGCCCAAAGGCCTTCAGCGGGCTGTACACCGTCACGCCCGCGCACAGCAGCGGCGCCGCTTGCTCCGGCGCCAGACCCGCCGGGATCTTCACCACAAACCTGATAGAAAATGCATTAGTTATCAACTGTAAAAAAATTCTGAACTCTATAGTCATTTGCAATATCGTTACTAAGAAATGTTAAAAATGAGATCAACCTAGGAGAAACTATGCTAGGTGGTTATTTTTTAAATAATAAGAATAAAATAGGAACCTAAATTTGAGTTACCGAGGGAGGTTGCCATTTTTTTTGTTGCAGATTTGACTAGCACCAAAGAAAATTGATTGAAGAGTTACTGTTCTATCATAATTCACACATATATCCCATTTTTTAAAAAACAAGCAATCGCTATCTCAAAGAGTTGTTGGATTAGGTAGTGCGATTTGCCCACTGACTGAAAAAGACAGTACACTAAAGTCGCAGGCAAGTTTGGGATCAAACGATGGAGCAAGGTATCCCCATTTCTCCCAACAACCAGTGATGGTTTTGATGACCAATCTTCAGACAAGAGTAGGTGAGGATTCAGCTTCTGTGGTGATGGCTCAACTTGACAAAGATGAGCCAGTAAAGCACACCAAATCCTACTTTTCACATCACACTCTTGCCTGGTCACCACAAGGCATCCATACCTCGACTTTCAGTTGCAGCTGGACGATAATGGACTTTACCGATGATAAATTTTTCCCATACCCATATACTCCCATCCGCCTTTTCTAGAAGGATTGGACATCACCATCCACACTTCACAAAAGTTCAAACTGAAGCTCAACTATTTCTTGCTTTGTTCAGACCAACTTTTTTTTTTGAAAAAAAAACAAGAAGTTATCTCTAGAACACTGAAGGCAAGACAACGCTGAATTTGGTGATTAGTTTTCAGTTTCAAGAACTCACTTCTGGTCGACGACCATGGTCGAGGCGAAGCCACCCTGCGTGGGCCGGCCGTCAGTGTAAACGTCGTTGTAGGACCAGATCTTCTTGTTGCAGTACTGCTCAACGTTGGCCTTGCAGGGGCTGCACTCGCGGCAGCACCCGACGATCACCCCGACGCCTATCACGTCGCCGACGCCGTACTTGGTCACCTCGGGCCCGACCTCCACCACCTCACCGACCACCTCGTGCCTGCAAAAGTTTCAGACACGACATTAGCAAACCAACCCCATGATGGCTAGTGTGCATTTTTCGCAACGTTATCAGTTCGCAGTCGTGGAGTGGTTGGTCAGGAAAAGTTTGTTTTTTTTTTTCACTCGCAAACATGTCAGAAAACAAAAAGTATATAGGCCTGGCGGTGGGGTTTGCTTTACTACTCATTTCTTCAACTCTTTAGCTATCATGAAAAGAACATCATGATTATTTGAGCCTGTAGAAATTAGACAACAAACTCGATCTTGTGCTTCAAATAATCTCGTAAACTGATGAATGACAGTAATTGGCAACCAACTACGTGAACAAAGAGTATTAGTGTGGTATGTGCCACCTGTAAACCTGAGAATAGCTCTGGACTGAGATGCTGACGTTTGTGGTTATTACCAAATGTGCACTCCTAATATCTACCAACAATCTATGCAGGTCAATCAGATAGACATACCTAAATTTGTCTGCATGTGTAATTTCCTCATGAAAAAATGCTGAAACCGCATGTCACTATATATATTTCTGTCCTACTCCTTTATACTTTTCAAACAAATTGAATAATAGAATACTGCAAAATTCGGTTTATTGTGAACCATATACGTACGCAGTATATATTACTCGATCCCAAGCTGCTGAAAAATAAAATCGCTAGGGGATGCATGTGTTTGTGCTCACCCAGGAACCATGGGGTACTTCGAAGCCCCGAGGTGGTTCTTGGCCTGGTGGACGTCCGTGTGGCAGATCCCACAGTAGAGCACCTTCACCACCACATCTTCAGGGCCTGTGCTCCTGTTGTTGTTGTTGTTGTTGTTGTCACCACAACACATTCCCATATGAGAAGAGACGAGTGTTAGTTTATTCTTGCAGAAGACCAGTAGCATATAGAATTATGCAAGAACAGCCACAGTTAGATAAGAGTATCATATATATAGTACTAGTAGTTGATGACGTGAGAAAGCACCACTAGAGAGTTCTCTCGAAGCAATAATAAAAGTTATGCAGGCGATGGATGCTTTCAAATTATTGCACCACGGTTGTACATGCTAGTGTCAGTAGGTAGTATCACCGTATCGGTAATTAGGTCTGGTATTGTACCTGCTAGTACGACGACTAGCTAGAGCTGGACCAGGTATCATGTGCATGCTCTTGTTGAGGAGCAAGCATATAGCCTACGCGTGAGCAAAAACATGACATGGTTGCTAAGCTAGCTTAGTAGAGCAATCTATCAAGAGAAGAGCAAATCACGCGTAATTAAGGGAGTGTACTCCGTGAATACTAGCAGTGACGAATCAGTTACTCGTATATATGGATCAGAATACGCATCAGCAATTCAGCATTCTCCCCAAATTAAAACCTGCCGGCGCTACGTACGTACTCCTAATAATCATCTATCGTTGCATTTGG